CCTAGGAGGTTTTAGCGGGCAAGTTATTCGTATTCGGGAGGTCAAATTACCCCGGCGGAGCATTTCTAGCCAGATCTGCCCGTCGTTCAAAAACTGCTCGGTTTCGAGTGATTGGGTCAGAGTAAAGGTAAATAGTGCCAGGAAGTAATCCTAGTAATGTTTCTTTTCACAGTTGGAATGGGGCGTTGTTGAATCGGAAGTGAGCGATGGCGAACTGGTCGCTTTTGTTGCTTATGCGATTGCGTTTCCCAGTGCAAACTTGTCTCTTATTGATACTTACGACGTTCTCAGGTTGCAACTTTACTTCTTTCGCATAAGCCGTGGCATAAGTGTGAAACACCCCGACGTTTAGAGTTTTGAGGTTTCCGGTAAGTCAGGTCTCAATTCTGATAAAATCGGCTAATTGTTCACCGTGCACGCTTCTACAACCTAACGTGGATTTCGATGATACATACCGCGATATCTGAACGGTCAAAATTATACAGCAATGTTATTGCGAGATTTTGCCAGTTTTTGGGCACTTCGTGGATGCCATCGCTTCACAATACACGAAAGTCGAACATCATCTCAACTTTGACTTGGGCTCAAGTCGTGGAGGTTTTCTCGGCTGTATAACGGTTGAATACGGGAGGCGACTAGCAGTCAGAAAGAGCAATGTCTGGACTACACCGCAAGGGTAGAGCCGTCCAGCTCTATAGCATGGCTTCGGCTCGAACTTTTTTGGACGGAGTGGGCCGCACCAGCACGTTGAAGACGGACTGTGCCGACGAATTTTTCCCTCTGCTTGACGATTCGCTTCAGATCTCGTAGCTGCTTTGCGTACGGATTGACCGAGGAGGCAGCTTCTTCATCCAGTAGTTTCCCGGCCCACAGCTATCTCAAGCTGAGATCACAGGTACTCCCAAACCTCACTTCGTCATTCAAACCGTAGGCTCCCTGAGCGCTACCGTCGTGGAAGATCGTCTGATAATTGGAGACATTGTCCTTGTGCAGCTCCATTATTTCGGCGTCGACAGCTGCCATGCTGGCGCCAGGGTGGTAGAAGAAAGAGTTGAAGGAAGCGCTTGAAGGGGTCGTGCCGAAGGTAGCGGATAACATTCTTGTCCATATTGCAGAATAAGGAGAAGCAGGAGTCGAGCCAGTGATACTAATAGAAAGACCTGTATAACTGCTCACATTACCGGTTTACCCTCTTCAGGAAATAGGCAAATACTTGGGTTCAAAAAAGTATGACAGAAGTTTCCCGCCAACCTAATAATACAAAAGTGGAGGAAGAACAGAAGAATTTCCGCCCGAAATGCCCAGATGAACCGTGCTGCACATGCATATCACTTGCTGGTATCAGGTATTTCCCTTATCACCTCACTCTCACCATTTAAAGTAGATCTAGGAGCGGAACAACCGCACCGCAAAGAAGCCTTTTGGAACGAAAGTTGGTTGTTGCCAGTGGGTGGGAAGGTGGCATCGTCGTGAGCCGGTCGCCTCTTCCTGTCGTATTTTTTAGGTGTGGAAGTGGTTAGTGCTTACTAGGGAAGGTCGTCAGGTCGAAGTGGCCATTTGTAATGAGATGTAGCTCACTAGACGTGGTTTTGGACGCTGATCTCGAATCTGCCTTTGAAATTTGCAGAACGATTCTCTGAACGGAGTTATGGAGCTTTTTCGCGTTTACCACGCAACAGGTCGTGGGATCGGATCCCTGCTGAGCTTAACTTTTTTGCTTCTTGTGCAAACGTGGCAAAAAGTGGTTGTAGGCGTCACTACTACATTAGCGCTCTCCTTGACTTGCCTGAAAAACAGTTTGCGTTCGCTTACTGGCGCGCTTAGTGCCTTATGATCTAGGAGATGTGTACAGGTGCCCTTGGCGCGGAGTGCAGGCGTTTTCGCGCTGAGCGAGTGCCATATTCGTGTTTATCGGGGCGAACTACGCCTAGGTAGAGGTTTCTAGCCAAATCTGGCATTTTGACCTGACTTCGAAAAGTGAAGCATCCATGGGTTTTCAGTTGATGTTCACACCTATTCAGCTGCAGATACATTCTCCTGCACAAAGCCTCGTCTCCCCTCTTCTTACGCATTCATTTTATTACTGCTCCAGTTTTCCTGGTATCTAAAAGCAAATTCCGTCCAAAGACAAGCAATCGACAAGAGACTGGCCCTGGAACTATTGGTGACCATCATTCGATCAACTGCTACCGCACTTTTCAAAGTTAGGTCAAAACCTCACATCTGGCTAGAAACCTGTCCCCAAGGGTAGTTTTGCTCCCTGAACACGAATATGGCACCCATTTGGCGTTTGAGTGTTTTCTAGACTTAAAAGAGACATTCCCCACAAAATGCAAAACAAATCCCCTTCCAGAAATCCGAACCCTTCATAGCATGCCCGTGAAGCAAGACCATTACCACTACACCATGCCACCGTTGAAGGTAATGGTGCTTCCCGGCTATTCATGCAAAGGCTGGCAACCGCGCTCGACTCCGTTAACTTCATTTAAATTCTAACAAACCTTCATAATTCCGTTCAGAGAATCGTTCTGCAAATTTCGAAGGCAGATTCGAGATCAGCGTCCAAAACCACGTCTAGTGAGCTACATCTCATTACAAATGGCCACTTCGACCTGACGACCTTCCCTAGTTAGAGTGAAGGAGTGCACCAATGCGATGATTATGTGCCGTCTGCTATGCAATCGTTGTTGAATGGGTTGAAAGAAAGAAAAATCGGCAGTTTTTCGGAAATATACCCCCACTACCTCGAGAGCTGGTAAAATCTGTGCAGGTGCATCTGAAGTTGTCGGTCGTATTAAGGCAAACTACAGTTGTGGAAAAAAAAACATGGAACAAGCTTTGAAGGGGCATCTTCATCAGTTCTAAGCTATTTATTCCCTTTATCAGGGTCAGAAGC